TCTCCTCTCCTCTCTCTCTCTCTCTCTCTCTCTCTCTCTCTCTCTCTCTCTCTCTCTCTCTCTTAAAATTCTCCCCTTTCCCCTCTCCCCTCTGAGAAGTTTGGTTTCAGTGGTGTTTATATTTAATTGGTTATAGAGTAAACTCTCCTTATCTCTTAAAGAAACTGAAAAATGGGCAAAAACTTTATCTTCGATTTTCTCAAAACTGCATTTTACGGGATAGCCCCCTTGTGCTTAAAAGCGACCAATTAACGGCCAGTTTTCCGGTTCAGTTGGGCACGCCGATTCATAGAGCCGCGAAGAGAGAGGATCGTTCATTCATATACAGACATGGCAGACAAGAAAGATGTACTTTCAGTGGCGGTGGGTGGACCAAGATTTGGGTGGGGCTTAGGTTTCTTCCACTTCTTTATCACCAAAAAGCAAGCAATAAGAACAAAACAGTGATGATTTTGCTATACTCACTGCGAGCCACGGCATTTAGAGAACCATTCAAATGACAAGAGTCACCTTTGTCTTCCATCTCTTTATTCTTAGTTAAAGTTAAGCTCTTCTGGATGGTGGGGACGAAGCCGTTTCACCTCCAAATTTCTCTAATTAGTTTTTATCTGAAGAGCGCAAAGGTATCTGTGTCACTGGGGGAAAGTGTGTCGTAAACTTTCACCCCATTGTCAGGGCTGGGAGAGCGTGAGCCCTCTGTGCACTGTAATTTTGTAAAAGTCTTCTACCTTTTAACAAGAAGAGTTTCATTAAAGACAGGCGTGGGAACCGGCTTATTCTTTCTGAGTCCTAACGACATTTGATTGGCTGTTAGGTTACTATAGTTGTAAGCGGTGACAACACTGATTGGATAAACGAGCAAGCCGCCAAGCTGATAACTGTGTTCACTGCGTGCGATCATGACGGTTTCAACTGCTTATTATTTCATTATTTAAGAAACTTTCATTAACTAAGGGATAGAGTTGGGGCGGAGAGGGGGCGGGGGTGAGGGGCTCAAGCCCGTAAGCCCTTCACTACCCACCGCCACTGTGTACTTTTATAGTAAGTAATATTGTCTCTGTATACTAACAGGGCAGACAAGAAAGTTTTATATGTTCTCTCATATAAAGAGGCCAGGGAGACTGGGGCAGAGACCTATTACTCTGAGATAGAAAGCTTGATGACCAATTTATCTCTTACATGGTCACTGACCGCTCGAAGTAGCTCTGTTGTTTTGTTTTGTTTTGCTTTGCTTTGCTTTGGGGGGCGGGGGGGGGGGGGATAAAATATATTTTGTGTACCAGTCTCCTTTTTACTTCCTATCTTTTCGCTTTGTCATCCTGCTATACAAATGTTTGAGGTGTTTCTATCCATCAGTTCCTCCTATCTTACAATATTTTTTTCTTTATTTTCTTTTCTGTCAAGTACGGTTTTTATCAGCATCCGCATTCTTGATTGTCTGGCATTGCCACAGAAGTCTGGAGAAATTCAGCGTTACCCTCTCATCCAAGATGCTATGACGTCTTATAATTTCTACTCTGGAACTCAGAAATCGATCTTATTATGGATGGGAATGGTAGTGAGCTTTGACGTTAATGCTTCTTGTTTGTAATTTACGCTAATGGAAAACACACACAATGTTCCAAATTCACGATCTTAAATATCTGGGGGCAATTTCACGGTATTGTTTTCAGACAAAAACCACTTCTTTGCGCACCCGCCTTGTTGTGCCTCTCTATATAGAACGATGCATTGTGAATATTATGAAATAGCAGTAAAAGAATTAACTGGACAGGACAAGAGAGATATCCTTGTGTTTGTGAAGTGTCTTCGCAAATGATGGAAGCGTCTGGGTGCTTTTCATTTGCATAGTCTTATTAGACATTCACAATAACTGTCCGATTGACAAGTTGGTATAATTTTTAGTCTGTGCATTCGCAACACTGGTGATTTTGCATAAGTACCTATTGAGGTTATTCGCAACTAGTCCTTTTCAATAATGTTCCACTTTTTCTGAGCCTATGACGTATCATTTGTGGAACAACATGTACCCCAAGTTCAAGCAGTGCTTATATATTATACTTTTCTCTTTTGAGGATGGCAACGGAAATTTGGGTGCTGGGTCAACTATAGTGTGGTAAAAAATTCGTGGAGCAACTTATTGTCAAATATTTCCTAAATATCAAACATAGACTCTACAGCTTTTGCACATTGACGTGTATCTTTTTTTAAAATAGATACATATATTTGTAAACACCTGTTAGCTGTATTCAAGAAAATTCCTTAATAAATACTAGTAAAAAATCCAAGTGGGTGCTTTCTACTGGTTTTTATAATCGCGACATTATGCTTATTGAATGCGTGTTTTGATAACCTTTTGTGCAAAAAAAGTGATCACTATAAAATTAATTTCTTTTCGCAAGTTTTGCCACTAAAAAGTGTCATTAAGTGAGCTGTGACGTAGGCCGTAAGGCGTATGCAAAATGTGCGTGAGAAGAGGGAAGTGAACAATCCCATTTTCCGCGTGACCGAGATAACATCTCTGTCATAACAATAATAATAGTATTTTGTATACATTTATGAAGAAAAGATTTTTAATCTAGCCTCAATTGCTGTGGGAAAATATGAAGTTAATAGAAATAGATGCAAACTGCTGCGCAAACTATGGTTAACATTGATTCACCCTTTTAAGAGATATTTCAGGGTACGCTGTGCCACGAATTTTTGACCACACTGTAGTAGCTCTTTGTGGGGAAAAGTATAACCTATTCTTAATATCTATGAGCCAATTTGAAAAAAAAAAGCCATCTAAATTCAGGTACTTGGGATTGTTCAGTTTTAAGTGATGTGCTCATGCCAAATCCATAACAAATCTTGAAAGCACCACATGCAAAATATTCAGCTGCGTGTTGATCAGTTGAAAACCCTCTAGAATTGCTTCTTTTTTTTTGGGGGGGGGGGGGTTCATTTGCGTGACGTAAAGTGGAGATTTTCATTATAGCTGCCACCTTCCTTGACGGGGGAGATCATGCTTGCAAACTACTCAAACGTTTTGGTTTATTTGTTTTATCAATGCCACATTTTTAGTCAAAATGAAAATTGTTGTGTCTTTTTCTAAATTCTTTTATCTGTTCGTCTCTAAGCCCTATTTTTTATTTCCTCGCCCCCCCCCCCCCCTTTCCCTTTCTCATGAATTCATGGTAATATAATATTTGCGTTCATATTATAATCTATTGTTTCATTGTTGCTTTTCCCTTAACGTTTTTGCGGATCTCTCTCTCTCTCTCTCTCTCTCTCTCTCTCTCTCTCTCGCGCGCGCGCGCGCGCGGGCGCGCACACACAAACACATCCACACAAACAAACAAAAACACACGCACACATACGTGCGTGCGCACACTCATACACTCTCTCTCTCTCTCTCTCTCTCTC